TCACATTGTTAAACTGACACGTAAGAAGCTCAGCACTGGCTTTTATTGGCTTGGCCTTTGAAGGTTTTAGGGATTTTTTTGAAGTGTCTGGCAAATGGGGGAGCAGAGGAGGAGGGCAGGTGCTTGGATAAAGGAAGCATCCCTCTTACAAGATGTGTTGTGTTTGGTACTGACAGTGAAACAGGTAAGTGTTACAAATAATAAAAGTGGCTGAATCCCCAGTTTCCAAGAAGCTGAGAACAAACCAATTAATTGTTCCTATGGAAAAAAAACCCCACACTGAACTTTTTTTTAATACACCTTTTCTGCCAAAAAACATCTGAAAACAAAGAGTTATTTTCAGTATCACCAAACTTCTTAAAAATGCTCTTCTGCCTTTAATAATAAGAGATCTTGATGCTTCTCTTACCAAGTTACCGTGCCAAGATGCAATCAATCTGTTTATCATTTTTAACTGCCTGCTTTGAGCAAATGGCAGCTACAGCGTACAGCCTCACTGCACAGGTGAGGCAAAAGCCTGCGCAGCTGGAGCAGGTAACAGACACATTTAGCACCATGGATTATCCTTGCCAAAATCTTGGGCTTCTGAGAAGCATGATGCTGGCTTGCTGATAAACGAGGGATGACTTCATTACGAAGATCAAGCCTGCTTTTTGCTGAGCAGCAACACTTCATAGTCAGCCCACTGCAGTAAGTAAGTGACCTGTGGCTTCACTTGAAACACGTACCCTGTAGGCTCTGGTGGAATACTGGGTACGTGTAAGGGAGAAGGAAAGCAGGCACACAGGAGTGCTTGCCTGGAGTTTCTGCAGTGGTTAAGAGGGGGGTGCTTCCCCTGGCTAGGCTGTCGCATTCTGAACCATCAAACATGAGCATCTTTTCAACCTTTTGTTTGCAAGAACCTGCACAGAACAGGTAACTGCAGTTGCTTCCCAGTTAGTCCTACTCTGTGCATTGTAACTGCCTCCAAGGTAGGTCCACTCCCTGTATGGAGGCAGAGTGCACCTGGGCAACAGCTTTATTTACAGCACTGCACGTGCTGCTTGTATTTGTCCTCAGTCTTAGATGCAGCTGCCCTCTCTAGTTTCATTTCTTGGCCTTCACAGCTTTACCACCA